GGCTCTCACCTCACTGTGGTTTCTTTGTATTATGGGACAATCATGGGCATGTACTCCTGACCTTTGACCAGTTACAGCCTGAAGGATGCAGTGATTACTGTGATGTACACAGCAGTGACTCCAATGTTAAATCCTTTCATTTACAGTCTGAGAAACCGGGACATGAAGGCAGCTCTGGGGAAACTCTTTGGCAGAACTTCTTTATCTCAGTTGTGAGTTCACACACTGGGTGCTGAGGTCAGTTTTGGGAAGGGCTTGAAGATCTAAGTCCAATGCTACCTTCCGTAGGATCTTAGCCCCAAATGATTGACTTATTTTTTTTAATTTATTTTCATTTTGTTATTATTCTTAACTAGTTGTACAAAGGTGTTGCTATTTAACTCAGCACTAATAAATACAATATATTTTCATCAATGTCACCCCTTTCAACATTTTCATTCATTCTTTTCTTATCTCTACTTTCATTCTTCTTACTTTTGTACAATATATACTGAATTCTTAAATGCAATCTCCCTTTCTCTTCCTCTTCATTCATCTACCCATTTCCCTTAGTTTCCAGCTCACCCCACCATGACTAACTTAACATAATACTTTCCAGTTTTTTACCATTTCTTTATAAATGGTACAATATCATTCTAATGGCTGAGTAAAATTCCATTTTAAGTGGCAAAGATTACAGGTATGAACCACCAGTTCATTCTATTTGTAGAATTTGCAAAATTTGGAAGCTTGCTCTCAGAATGTTGAAGTAAATAAAGTGTACACTCCAATCGTCTTAAAGTCAAATCCCAGTTTATAACATATACTAAACAAGATAAAGACTCAGGCACAGGCAGGAAGAAATACCACGAAGTAAATAACTATACCATTATCTTAGCAACTCCCTAGGCATGGTGCTCAGTTGGTGCTGAGCAACAGGGAAGAAGAGATTGCATCCCAACCAAGTGGATGGAATAGGTCAGCCCAGAGCCTGTACTTGGGGAACACATGCCAGGTAACTCAGGCTCCTCTTGAGACCCACTATGTCTGCATAGAGCATAGCAGGATTAATTTCCATGAGTTTCAACAATTAGTGTGTCTTTGACCTGAATGAAAATCTTGGGAGACTCAGGGTTCCACAGACTTTATAACCCATTAACTAATTCCCCATCTTGTTCATACTAAGACACGACAGCTTCTCGGAGATGGATGCTACACTCTTTGTCTTTAGGCTTCCTCCAGGAGAACTCTTTCTGCCCCTCCTGTTTTGGGTCAGAATCTGGTGACCTTGCTGCTTTCTCCACCTTAGCCACAGAGCACCAGGATGTAGCCTCCCAGCCGGTCTGTCCCCCAGAATGAATATTAGACAGAGCTAGACCCAGCTGTGACTATTCCACATGTGGGAGAGGAGTGAAGATCACAGCAGCAGGAAAGCTGAACAACCAAGCCGACTCCCCAGGTAGGGCTGTCAATGTTGGAAACAGTTTTCATGACAGCAACAGCAATCAGTAAGAACATCTGCCAACTCCTTCCCTTGACCATCACTAGGCCCTAGGAGGTGAGTAGAATGATTGTGTCTTTGATCAGATGTGGTTTATCTGGAGAAATGAACTGACTGCAGTCACACAGAGAGGTGGTAGTAAAAGTAGGATACAGATGTCTGCCTGACTCCAGCACCAGAGTCCTGAAGGTGCAGTGGACAGAAGGCAGAGTGAGAGGATCCCACCCTGACCATGTTCCTCCTGGGGCTTTGTCCATGAACACAGAGTGGAAGAGGACAGTGGTGACTCGGTTGTTCCTTCTGTCTTTGGCTCATCTTCATTCAGAAGCAATACTGTGTGTGGGGACCATGTGCTGTGAGTATGAACACACATACACACAGACACACAAACACATGCGCACATATAAATGAGTGGGCAAAGGCATGATCTTAGGCAGAGCTACAAAGGCATTGCCCACTGTCATATTCCATGGAACCTGGCAGTGGGCCCTTCATTGACAGGGACTAGCTGTGGATCCAGCAGATGAATTTGAGAGCACTCAAAAGATGGGGTTTTTACTAGGTCTGTTGAGCTAGGATAACAAGGGAAAGCACGTGGTCTTATTGATCTCTGAAAAATTGTTTATAGCATCATCATCCTCAGGTCCTTGATACCTCAGGCCACAAATTTCTTCCCAGGGAACTGGGTGTTAGTGGTCAGCCCTATGTGAGAGCCGACCACCTTCCAGTGAGTTCAGGACACTGTCGATGCCTCCTGTACTCACATTGATGTACCTCTTGGCTCTTCTCCCTGGGCTATGAGGGTCTCTTTGTGTCTTCCCAGAGGTGCTGGACACATCATTCACCCCAGTGACCAGTGTGTCTCCACCCTTCGATCAGAAGTCCTTCAGCTCAGAATTCCCTCTCCTCGGGTTCCCTGGTTCTTTTGGTCCTGCATTGGCCATATCAACTGTTCTTTTTCTGTTGTAACTTTTCATTTCATTCTTGTATTTTAGTTATGATAACTGATATGATAATGCTTGTGAGATACTGGTAGTCAAAATATTGTCTCATTTATTAGTCACATAATGAATGTGCTCAAATACAAGTTACTGGATATGTCTGTTGTCAGGGATTTAATGGATCCCCACATCTACTCTAATTATTGTTGCCACTTTGTAATCAAGTCTGAAATTCTTGGCTTGGGTCAAAACCTTCCACAAAACAAAATCCCAATTCTTTTTTCCAGCTGTTTTTCTATTCTCTGTCCTGGCTTCTATCCTACGCCCCTGAAAAAATGAGTGACATAATTTTGCCTGAAATCATACTCCACTGTCTGAACTTTTGGTCCTATAACTTTTCTTCCTAGTGTGTAAATTGGACTTTGTCTATAATTGATCAGTAGCAGAGTCAGTGATTTTCAAGTCCTAGACTATTCATATCTGCATATTAAAATATATTTTTTGTTGGGCACCAGTGGCTCACACCTTTATTCCTAGATATTCAAGTGGCTGAGTCAACCTGGGTAGGAAAATCAACATGGGTAAGAAAGTCCAAGAGATTCTTATTTCTAATTAAGCACCCAAAAGTTGGAAGTGGAGTATGGCTCAAGTGGTAAAACAGTATCCTTAAGCAAAAAAATACACACATATATAGATATGTATACACACGTTTCAGTCATTCCTACAAACCTAGTTCAGAAAGAAAGAAAAGTGAGAAGGATTAAAAGGCATAGGATGAGCCAGGCTCTGGTGGCTCACGCCTGTAATCTTAGCTACTTTGGAGGCTGAGATCTGAGGATCACAGTTCAAAAGCCAGCCCAGGAAGGAAAAGCCATGAAACTCTTATCTCCAATAATCCACCAGAAAACTGGAAGTGGTGCTGTGGCTCAAGTGGTAGAGTATTTGCCTTGAGCTGAAGAGCTGAGGGACTGTACCCAGGCCCAGAGTTCAAGCCCCATGACCGACAAAAAGAGGATGATATATTGAATGAATAAAGAGTTTAGGCACCGTTCCCACTCTATGGGAAAGTGCTGGTGTTGATTTGGATATTGAAAAGCAAAAGTACTACCACTGCAAGAGTTGATGGGGAAAATGACTGAGAAAAGAAAGAAGACAGGAGTAGACTGCACATAGAACCATCTTTTTCTTTGAGACTGAGTAGAAAGGTCTTAAGATGTAACATTTGTGTGCAAATTATGTGTATTGGAAAATCTGGAGGAAACAAGCCTGTATGGGTGAAGTTTCTCACAGGAGAGGGAATTGACATTCAGGCATCGGAAACAGTGCTTTTGTAGGTGTCTGGCGAGTGGCAGAGAGTGGCAAAGGTTTGGATGGACTTCCATGGATAATGGGGTAAGGCCTGAGGAATGCGAACAGTTCAGTTGGAACTGTGGTTTCTCCACTTACCTTAGTTACCCTATAAGAGAAAATGAACAGATTTTCTGAGGATTGTGTAATGTGGAGAAGAGTACATGGACAACCCATGTGAGTTATCCAAGATGTAACAAAAAGCTTAGCCAGCTAGAGAGTCCATGAGTGGAAAAAGTTTATACAAAATGAATAACTTGGAGCAGAAACAGTGGGCCATTAAATAATATTTGAAAATCAGTCAAAGCTCCTCTAGCTCATGCACTGACCATATTGTTTCTCCTACCTGAATCCTTCCTGTAATGAACCCATCACTGAGCATGAGAAATGACTCTTAGATCTTGACCAGGGTAAACAAACCCATTTGATTTGCAATCTCTGCACAGGGAATCCTTCTGTGTCCCTATATCTCTTACTCTCTTAGTGAAATGTGGGCTGAGCTCCCATCTTTATGTCCACTCAATGTCACCAAATATGTGACATCTTTATTTTAAATCACTTTTTTAAAGTTTTATTTTTAGTGTTTTTAGTATTTTGTTTTATTTAGTATTTAGTATTTTATTTTTAGTGTTCTTAGTATTTTGTGAAAATAACGTACAGAGGGGTTACAGTTACATGAGCAAAATAATGAGTACATTTCTTATCAAGCATTGTTGCCTCCATTGTTTTTCTCCTACCATCCCTTCCCTCCCACCTCCACAACTACACTTCCCCCAGCCCCCATCCTCAGCCTAAATTGTAAAGTTCGTTTTTCAACATAGTGTCAACCTGTATCCCCATTTAAACATTTTGTTTTTTTCCTTTCCCTCCCCAAATTATAAAGATGTCAAATACAATGAAAACAGGGGTTATACCATGGGGGAGGAACATACAAAGCAACAAAAAAATCATATGGTACCTTATAAATATGTTAGAAACAATAACAAGAAAGAAAAAACCACTTGTGTCTCTATCTTGGAGTTAATTTCCCTTTTCTTCATCTTATCTGGTCATATGTACATAGCTATTGACCTTTTCTACTTGTTCCAGACATATGCTAGTTATTGAAAATAATGGAAACCATGGGACCTATGTTTCTTTGGGTCTGTCTTACTTCACTTAATAAAATTTTTTCCAAGTCTTTCCATTTCCTAATAAATGGGGCGATGTCATTCTTTCTGATGGAGGCATAGAGTTCATATATATATATGTATATGTATATGTATATATATATATATATATATATATCTCACATTTTCTTGATCCATTCATCTACTGAGGGGCATCTGGGTTGGTTCCATAATGGTAAATAAAGCTGCAATAAACATAGTTGTGCTGGTAGCTTTAGTATGGTCTTGTTTGTGATCATTTGGATAAATGCCCAAAAGTGGGATTGCTGGGTCTTAAGGGAGCTCTAAATGGAGTCTTTTGAGGAACCTTCATACTAATTTCCAAAGAGGTTGAATAAGTTTACACTCCCACCAACAATGCAGTAGGGTTCCCTTCTGGATACATCCCTTCCAGCATCTGTTGTTATTAAAGTTCTTGATTATAGCCATTCTAACTAGTGTGAGGTGGAATCTCAATGTTGTTTAGATTTACATTTCTTTATGGCTAGAGAAGTTGAGCATTTCTTCATGTGTCTATTGGGCATCCTTCTTTCCTCTTCAGAGAAGTTTCTCTTTAAGTCTTTAGCCCACTTATTTATTGGGTCATTGTTTCTTTGAGGATTTGTTGTTGGGGGATTTAATTTTTTGAGTTCCAAGTATATTTTAGATATGAGACCCTTGTCCGTTGTATGGCTAGTGAAAATCTTCTCCCAATCCGTGGGCTTTCTATTGATCTTCCTAGCTATGTCCTTTGCCATGCAGAAGCTCTGCAATTTCATGCAGTTCCATTTGTCCAACCTTTCTTTGATTTGTTGTGTTTCTGGGTCTCTATTAAGAAATTTTCAACCCGTGCCAAGGAGACCTAGGGTTTCTCCTATTCCTTCCTGTAATGTTTTCAGGGTGTCTGCTTTGATTCCGAGGTCTTTGATCCATTTGGAGTTGATTCTGGTGTAGGGTGATATATAAGGATCTAGCTTTAGTTTTCTACAAGTGATTAACCAGTTTTGCCAGCACCATTTACTGAAGAGGCTATCTTTCTTCCATTCTACTTTTTTAGCTCCCTTATCGAAGATTAGGTGGCTATAGGTCTGTGGGTTCATTTTTGGGTTTTCAATTCTATTCCAGTGGTCTTGAGGTCTGTTCTTGTGCCAGTACCAAGCTGTATCACTTTTATTATGATGCTGTTTAAATATTAGAAGACTGCAGGGAATAACACAACACAAACCAACCCTCTGGATTTAATAAATACAGTAGCATTTCTTCTTAGTTCTAATTTAAAAAAAACATTGCTGTTACACTTGAAATTCTTATTTTTCTCCCTCTGACTCATAAGATAGCCAATATTCAGTGATCAGAAGGATATTCCCATCCAGTGCTTGCACTTCCTTGTATACTAATAAATTCCTCTGTGTATGTATGTATGTATGTCTGTATGTATGTGTCCTGGTTCTTGAATTGAAAACCTAGACACTGTCCCTGAGCTTCTTTGGTCAAGGTTAGTGCTCTATCACCTGAGGCAAAGCTTCACTCAGAGATTTTTGAGTAGCTTCTAGAGTTACAGTAATGAACTATCAGTGTTCGTGGTTTTCAAAAGATGTTTTCATGTCTTTTAAAACTTTTATGTTCATCTGTTGTTACTATGCATTTTCATAGCAATGAGACTTGTCAACATTATTTCTGACTTCAGAGCTGCAGCTCTCAAATCTTTCTCTTATGTGTCATATGAGCTAACTATAGCCTTTGGGTCATCTAGGTTTATAGAACTCTCTAATACCTGGAGATTATGATTCTGTATGAAGGAGAAGATACATGAAGCGTTCAACCATACTGATTTAGATTCAGCGATAGGAGAGTACATCATAATGGGATATGATAAAGTTAATTTGATTTATATCCTCTCGTGCTCATTGTGTTAATTCACATGTGTTACAGAAACATTGGGAATTGCTTCCAGTGACTGAATTAATTATAGAATGAATTATTCTTGAGTAGTAATAATTAATCTTGGAACACTTACTGAATTATCTAACCACATTTCGGATCACTGTAGTAAGTGATAATACTGTAAAAACGACTTAGACTGAAAAATTACTTTTCTGTTATATTGCAGTCCAAATGAGTCAGGCAAGAATTTCTCCTGTAGGCGGGGACAACACAGGGAAGCAGGTTCATCTTGTCATGTCTAGGCTCTTGAATATTTGCATGCAGTAGAGGAATCGTAGAACCAGTCTACGTAAGTGGACGGACTACAACACAGTCATATAATCACATTCCCAAGAGGGCCTGGGAAATGTGTACTTGAGTGTCCAAGAAAAAGAGAAGAACATTGGTCTGGGCAAGCCAGCTACTAGTTTCTGCCACATGTAGCGTGCCTTAGAGTACAACATGGGTTAAGAAGGGGCAACTGGGGTTTAGCAGTTATGGAAGCATGCCACTCTATAGCCTGAGATAGAGGATTGAGACAATGAAATGAGAAAGCATGAGTTATGGAATAATTATTAATAAAAAAGGGAGAAGTTCAGATGTACAGCCAGGGGAACAAATAGGGTGATTGTGCTTACGTGCCTTCCTCATGTAGGTCTGCAGGAGATAAACCAGAGTTTAATTCAAGGAACAATGAGTGAGAACAAATTGGTTCACAAAATGAGCAATGCTCCATAATAATCATACGAAGAAATGAAAAATAAACAATATATAAATTTCTTCTCCTATAAAATCTTGCAGCTTTGACTGGATGTGAGCAGTCTAGGTTGCCAGATATGACTAGACACACGGGGAAATGAGACTTGTCGTCTATCTCATGGTAGTTGTCGTCAAGTGCAATTCAATAACGCATCTAAAGAATAGAAGGGAAGGGAAGACTGATGGGGAAACCATTGTGATTGTGTCTCTCTAAGGATTTTCCAAAGGAGAAAGCCTAGTAAAGGCAGTGATGAAAATCTACTTGGCAAAAGGGACAGCTGTGAAGAAAATTCCCTGGGCCTATTTTGGTAGGACTTAAATGCAGTCATCTGGGTGACTGACATCTTCCAGTGCCAGTGTAGATGCCTGTTCTATCCTGGGTTCTGGAAATCTTGTGTCAGGCCACTGGGAATATTTCTAATTCCCAAATTAATCTTCCTACTAAAGGAGCCTCAGCACTAGAATAGATTGTGAAGGACTGCAAAATGCTGTCTCTTTTATTTTCATGTACGTGATCAGTAGTGTGGGACACTGGCTGCTCCAGGAGGTTGTAAGGTCTGAGAGAGGGATGTGAAAGGCAAAGAATATGATCTTAAGAATATGAATGAAATGATCAAATCTGAGAGTTGGTAATATCCATAGAGATGATAAACACAAGTACATCCAATTTACAGATTTCTCATTTTTGAAATGAATATCTAGGTGTGAATGACAGTTAATCCCATTAACCAAGGAGGTTCCCCCAAGCAGTGGGTTCCATTGGGATTTCATGAACTCAGTTTTTCAGATAGCTGATCACTTAAGACAAGAGCAGTGGATATGAAAGGTCAGGAACTACACTACTAAATCTGGGTTCCTTTCCTCTTGCCTGCTGAAGGAGCCATGAGAGAAGAAAACCAGTCTGCTACCACAGAGTTCATCCTCCTGGGAGTGACTGGACAGCAGGAACAGGAAGACATCTTCTTCATCCTCTTCCTGCTCATTTACCCCATCACACTGATTGGAAACATGCTCATCATCCTGGCCATTCTCTCTGATGTTTGCCTCCACAATCCCATGTACTTCTTCCTTGCCAACCTCTCTCTGGTTGACATCTTCTTCTCATCTGTCACCATCCCCAAGATGCTGGCCAACTATCTCTTGGAGAGTAAAGCTATTTCCCATGCGGCTACTTCATGCAGATGGATTTTATGTTAGCTTTTGGTAACACTGACAGCTATGTCTTGGCTGCAATGGCAATTGATGGAGCTGTGGCCATCAGCCGTCCTCTTCATTATTCAATGATTGTGAGACCCTGTTCTTGTGTCCTGATGGTTGTTGGATTTTGGGCAGTTGCAATCATCATTTCCTCACACTCTACTCACAGTTGGCTTACTGTGACATTGCTCCTTTGCTCAAGTTGTCCTGCTCTGACATCCACTGATGTACCCTGGCGCTGGTGTTTTTCTGTGCCTCTGTTTTGCATCATTATCTCCTATGTTCGGGTCTTTGCCACTGTCTTACGGGTTCCATCCACTAAGGGCATACTCAAAGCCTTCTCCACCTGTGGCTCTCACCTCACTGTGGTTTCTTTGTATTATGGGATAGTCATGGGCATGTACTCCCCACCTCTGACCCGTTACAGCCTGAAGGATGCAGTGGTTACTATGATGTACACAGCTGTGACCCCATCTACAGTCTGAGAAACTGGGACATGAAGGTGGCTCTGGGGAAACTCTTCAGCAGAAGTTATTCATCCTCACTGTGAGATCACACACAGGGCTGGAAGTTCTTACAGAGTAAGAACTTCTATCAGATCCAAGTCCAAAGCTGCCTCCTATCAGATGCTGCCTTTATCTTTCCAGTCTGAAATTTGTTTTGTTCAGAAATTTTATAATAGTCAGATCACCAATTTGTTGAAATCATCCCTTCCAACTCAGTTTGGCTCTTCTGTGATAGTGACAGCATTGGATTCATGTTTATGCTTCTGTCCAGCAGAATAAATATGGAAAAGTCGGGGTCATATCTTCCTCACCCCCATATTAAAAATGATTATATTTGTCCTGCCAATGTCTTTAAGTGTGGCTGCAGTAGCTCATGCTTTCACGTCAATACAATTTTCATATAAAGTTTTATTTGACTCTTCAATAATCTTCAGTGAACAGGAGCTGTCTTTATACATGGCTGTACATTCACAATCTTAGACCTGTAAAATGAATCTTAAACAATGTTAATGGAGAATAAATAAATGAAAGAAAATATTAGTCTCTGAGATGTAATCTGATAATGATTAGGGATAACAGTATAATTTACCCATGCTTTAAAGAAACGGAACTGGGAAGATATTTTTGTGCTTATTTTAGTTGTTAATCTCTCCCTTCCTCCCTCCCTTCCCCTCTCCCCCTCTCTCTCCTTCTGTCTCTCAGCATTACTTGT